GGGCCGGGGCCGGGCGGAGAGCTTCGCGGCGGCGGCGGCGCCCTTGCCTTGGCCCCACCGCGCCCGGGCGCCTGCCCTCCTCGGGCACGATCCGACGCGCCCCTGCGGGCAAAGCGCCTGGGCGCCCCGCGGGTCCCTGCGCCGCGCCAGACAGGCCGGTCCTTTGCCGCGATCCAGCTCGCGAGACGCCGGTGCAGCGGTGCCCCCTGCCTCCCCCCCACCCCCCGGATGCAGGGAGGTCCGGGGGGCGCCGGAAGAGTGGAGCTCTTCCCCGGGGGGCTCCAGCCAGGCCACGGAGCCATGTGTGCCAGCAGGAGCCTGCCGTGCAGGGGAGGAAATGACGAGGCTGCTTGCGCCCACCTAAACTTCGGAAAGCGCCTTGCCGTGGCAGGTTCGCACCCCAAGCGCGCGAATCCCGATTGCAGTGTGTCCATGTGGCCCACGGCTTCCTGGGTCCTGCCCAGAAAAATCAGACGTGAAAACAAATATACGAAGGACAGCCTGTTAAGAGGCTGCCAAGTTCCTTGTTCGGCCCTTTCAGAGTGCCAGCTAGGCAGTCCTGGGAAAATGGGCCCTGGGGGAGACCACCTCCTCGCCTTGCTTTTCCCTCATAGCTGGTCTACATACCTCTTTGCTGGAAGACTTTTTGTTCTCGTGGCTCTTCAGCAGCTTTTCCCGACCTGGCAGCCTCCAGATGTGTTGGCTGCAGCACAGATTATTAAGCAGACTATTAGACCTAGAAACTTCCTGTTACACCAGATTGTTGTACATAGCAGCAGGGCCCACAGTGGGGAACTTGTGCATTGGTGCAGGTTAAGGCTATGCAATCTGTAAGCCACGTTGGCATGAGAGTGTCTTCTATACTAAGGAAAAACTGAAGACTGAAAATTGAAATATGCTGGTGTGGAACATGCATGTTATGTTACTATTGAAATAATCTTTCAAATTGTGTTTAGAGCAATAAAGAACTGCTCACAGGCTGCTAACCTCAGAACCGAGGATGTCGGAAGAAGAGGAAAAAGTTACTCTGCGTCGCCTTGAACCTGCAATCCAGAAGTTTATTAAAGTTGCAGTTCCAACAGATCTGGAGAGGTTAAGAAAACATCAGATAAATATTGAAAAGGTTTATTTCCCCCCTTATCCTTAAGAAACCTATAGGTAGAAATTATTGTGCTGATGTTATGCCAAAGTTAAGCAAAGCTGTTTTGATTGTGTCACAGCAAGACTGTGGAAGAATGACAGAATAAACATGTAATCTGGTCCCGATTATGTTAGCAGGAGAGTAAGTCCCATTGGTTTCTGCATTGATTGATGGGTGTTTATCAGTCGTAGTGTCTTAACTCTGCATTAGCTAAACATGTATCTGGCATGGGGCAGAACCCAGGTGAACATGTGACTCAGACAGCTTTTGGAGCAGCCCCATTTGAGGATGAGTTATTGTGAACCATCCAGAGAGCTTCAGGTGTTGGGCAGACTAGCAGAGGAGATGATGATGACGGTGCTAGTAAGGTACTTAAATTATAGTCTGTCTGTGTTTGTATTATTTATTTAGCTTCTTACACCACTTAATAACCAAAGCTTTCTGGGTGGTTTAAAACGGTGATGAATATTCAGTGAGCCCTCCGCATGCCTGGCAGATAGGGGTGCAGGACCCTTGCAGAAGTGGGAAAAGCTGCAAATATCTCTGCCCCCCACCTCAAAGCCCTTAACTCTTAATACTGTTGACCTGACATGTCCTGGATTGTTTCTCCCCCCACCCACTCCCTCATACCTTGGGCTGATCCAGCAGGTTCCCTCTTCCTCATTTATTACATTCTTGTGTTCTTCTTCCCCACCTCTCTTTCCCTCACCAGGGCCGCCTCTTTGCAGCAAGGAAATGCCAGAGAGATTTCCCCCTCTGGATGGGTGAGGCAAGAAGGCAAGCATTCGAGGCCTCCCCATGTCCCCTTCCGCTTCCCCTTTCTCGAGGGTGGTGGCGATTTTCCACAGCAGGCCTCAACACTCCCAGTGGGAATCTCATCTAATTACTGATGGCAAGCTTGCAAATTAGCAAACCCTCAAAAGTTAAACCTGCAAAGATTGAGGCTTGAGTGTAGCTACGATTCTATAGTATGCAAAAGCGTTGCTGTTGCTTTATTTTTAATCATTCCGTTCTGTTTTGTGAAGGAGTTTAGGACAGCAAGCATATCCCTGCCTTTTCATTCCCACAACCACCCTGTGAAAGGCTCGGTTAGGATAGGTTGAGGAACAATGCCTGGCCCCAGCTTTGTCAGTTTCCTGGGATTGATAGCACCTTGAGCTACTACACCACATGGTTCCTTACTGTTTAAGCTTAGATTGTTGAGAAGGAAGAGAGGGCAACTGTACCTGAGAGAACAAGTCTCTTTTGTGCAATCAGGAGGTCTCTTTGGAAGGACTTGGGCACACAGATATCTCTGGGTTCTATATACCCTTGGCCCTCTGCTTAAGGCCGTGCAGAGTCCTGTGAATAAGGATGATACTGATGCTGATAATAATAATAATAGCAGCATCTTTATAAAAGGAGACACTATTCCTTGAAACTGGCCTAGTATGTGTGGACCAGAACATCATCATCCCCTGGATTTTGCGCTTCTCTGAATGTTGTGATATAGTTCCCAGGCCCAGAATTGATCAAGTTGCTTTTGCACCTTCACTGCCAACCTGTAACGGGCGCAGGATCTCAGGCGCAGGTGCCAAATCCAGCCCTCCTGGGCTCCCCAGAAGGCCGCACCCCCGTTCCCAGCAGCAGTCAAGCATTTGGTGGTTCCTTGCCTGTTGCTCCTTTCCCCCCATTATGAAGGGCTTCTCCTGGGGTCCCTTGGCTGGAAGTGCAGCTCTCCAGCTGCAGTATGCAGCAGGCGTGTTTGGCATTTTGGCCTTGCCTCTTCTGCCCCCCAAGAGTGGCTCCAAAACGGACCTGGTGCTTTAGCTTAAAGAGGTCCAGCAATGTTGCACTATAATAATACCGACACAGATGTTTTCCCTTTGCTTTTAGTACCAGCGGTCCAGACTGTGGGACAGACTGCACGAAGAGCACATCAATGCGGGTCGAACTGTCCAGGTAAGCGCAGGATTTTGGACAGGGAGCTCCCCAGGGCACTTACTGGTAAAAATAAGCCAAGCGAGGGAGCAGAAGGTTTTTAGAATTGACATTCTTACTTCATTTTGACATGGACAGAAAAAGCGGGAAGGCAAGCCACTCTTTAAGGCAAGGATGAGCGACTTTGGGCTCAACGTCGCATCCTCCCTCTGCATTCGCTGTGCTGGCTGAGATGGGTGGGAGTTGTAGGCCCAAACACCTGGAAGGCCCAGCCCTGCTTTGCAAACAGGGCCCTTTGTATTTGCCTTTCACCTTGGTTATTAATTGTTCTGGAAGCAATAAGGTGTGGAAGCGGCCCTCTTAATCAGGATGTGTTTCTGAAGCTGTTTTCCCCATAATATTACAAAGAGCCTTTTTGAATTATGCACAGCAATTGCGAGCAAATGTTAGAGAGATGGAGAAGCTTTGTTTACGGGTCCGGAAGGAAGACCTCCAGAGTTTGCAGAGGATGATCGACCCAGTGAAAGAGCAGGCGTCACTTGCCATAAAGGAATTTCTACAGCTCCATTCAGAGTCTGCAGAAGAACTTAAAAAGCGGTTCAGTGAGAACGAGGCATCGTTGCAGGTTCCTCTAACCAGATCCACGACCATAGCAGCAGGTATTTCATGTTCATAGGTACTTTTAAAAATAAGGAATGAGTTGGGCTTTCTAGGTAGGCAGAGTCAGGCTGACACTTTGCTGCATTGTAAAGTGATTCATGTATGATGTACAAGCATTGAGAACCATGGGAACCGCTGAACCACAATTGTGCACATTGATTTCCATGGGAAAGTTAAGTGTGTTTCAGTTTATCCCATTGAAATCAGTGGGACTTTCATGGTGTCCTTTGCTTGCTGACCTGCATTTCCGGTGACAGCTTTGCCAACTATTCTAACACGAAAAATGATGCAAGCCTTTTGATCAAGTATTGAAATAGCCAAATGCATTTGTTAAAAGTTTCACGATGGCTGGGCAGTTCCATGAAATCAGCTTTTTAAGAGAGACTTGCTTCTAGTCCATAATTTTTGTCCAGGTGTCCTTGCAATGCTGAATTTCTACTGTGCTTGCTCCATCCACTGGCTATGACTGAATGCATTCTTTCTGCTGAGATTTATGGGGCTGACTTTTTGGGAAGCTTTTAAGCTGGGAGTGATACATAATTTTATCAAAGCTGGAAGTCTTGCTCCATCTGTGGGGGGCAGCTGCAAGTGGTGGATGCCGGCGCCCCTCCCGTAGCCGGGCCCTGCTGACGGGCGGCAGGTTAACGCAGAGACGCGATTCAGCCCTCTTTGTTGTGCTTTGGTGCCCCGGTTCCCTCTGTACCCCTCCAGCTGGGTCCATACTTGGGAATGTTCTGAAGGGCCTTGACAAACCCAGACGGCAGAGCCAGAAAGAATTGGTGCACTTAACTGGCCCTCCTGGAGGGCTGTGAGTTGCTGCCTGCTTTATTTCACCACAGTGTTTACATGGGAAGCCCGAAGGCAAAGTGCAAAGGCGCTTTTATACATACCGTGAACGTACATTGTCTACAGTCTCTTCTAGCAGAGTGAGAGATTTTTGTAGGCCGTGTCTCAGCGGAGGCCCAGATTCAAGACCACCTGCGTCAGAATCCGCCCTCTTACCATGTTTGTGCTGGGGCAGACAATCGTCTCCTTTTAAAAACGAAACACATCTGTGTTTAGGAAGAGCCCTGGCCTTCAGAGCGACCTTTTCGGCCCAAGCGCTTTCCAGAATCCCTGCCTCACCGCTGCTTGGCACCCTTTTACCCCCATGCAAAGCAGCCCTGGCGTAGCAAAGGGCAGGCAGGGTTCCACTGGGTTGCCTCCTGTGGAAACAAGCACATCCTGCTGACCTGTACCTCCACTGGAGATGCTGAGGAGTAGTCATGAGTCACTCTGGTTGGATCAGGGCCTTGGGACAAGGGTGACATCACCCCTTCTGCTCTTGGACTGTTAGCTGACTTGAGGTGTGGTGTGTATGGGCAACTTTTAGATGGTAATCCTCTCAGGGCAGGGACATAGCCGTCCAAGGTTCGTAAAAGCCTGTAGGTGTTGTAATATGAATAATTTCCTGGTACCTAGCAGCTGGTGCTTACTGGCTGGGAATGATGGGAGTTCCAGTCCTTTATGTCTGGGGACACCAGCTTAGGGATTACTGATGTTGGTTGCGTCTGTGTGAGAGGGAGAGTCACGGGGTGGTTTGCCGTCGCTTGTTGATGCAACACACTTCTAAGAGCATGCGAGAACTTCTTTGAAGAACACTTCTAATGTTTTCCTGCAGAAACCTTTTATAACCACGAAGAAGAAGGAGGAACCTCTCAGATCCATGGCCAGGTGTTTCTCCCCCTCCCAGAAATCCCCCAGGATCAAAATGCAGCAGAGTCATGGGAAATATTAGAAGAGGTATTTGGGGCTTTCCATATCCCGTGCGGCTCTTACATTGTTACAGTTCACATGGCCAGTCCTTAGGGACAAGATAACAACAGTGGTTTGGTTTGGTTTTGTTGTAGGACTTGATCGAACTCAGCAACCTGGTGACCGACTTCTCTCTGCTCGTTAATGTATGTATAGCAGCAGCTGTCGCTTGACATTTCTTCTGGAGTCTGAAGAAAGGAAAAGAAGATCTAGTTTCTGTTACAATGGCCCACCAAAGAGTTAGCGCTCTCGTACTGTTAAAATGACAATGCAATTCTTTCCTTCCTTCCTTCCTTCCTTCCTTCCTTCCTTCCTTCCATCCATCCATCCATCCATCCATCCATCCATCCATCCTCCATCCCTCTAACGCTTTTATAGACTGTTCCATTACTAGCGTCTTTGGATGGTTACTAGAGTATTTCTGCCCTGGCAAATAAGTCTTAACAGCAAAAGTCGCCCCACTCTGTGGCCTGTGACTCCCATAGCCTCTTTTTCACTCTTCCTCTTCTGACTGAATGTCGAGTTAAAAAGGACGACCCTCAATTTCATCTAGGAGGGTGTTCTTGTGTGCGTGAGTTTTCCAGATCTGCCCGTTTAAAATGGTTAGGCCATGACTTTTATCTGTGCAGCTACGATTAAGTTAAATAATGAGCCAGTCCTATGCAAGACTGGACAGGAAAAACAGCTCCCGACATGGCTGCGCTTGGCTTCCCTGCCGTGTGCTGTCGGTCCTTTTCCTGTTTAACTTGCATAAGATTGTGTCGTAATGCATTTAGTGGACATTTTAGCTGGACTTGTAGGAATTCTCCATGTCGTATTGGCCCATTTTATCATTAATTAAATCTTTTTTTTTTTTTTTTTGGTGTAACCTTGTGCACCTGGAAACTGGCTGAGGGGTGTGCCAGCACTGCAAGGGGGTGGGCAGGCCCTTTCATAAAAGCAAATACTAATCTCATAAGGCACAGCGTGCTGCTCGGGAGGTTGTGTCACTCCTGGAGGGCCACCCTGGTGGTCAGCTCGAAGCGTTTGTCGTGTGCTGTTGACGGGTCTGCCTTTCCCGGGTGGGGCCTCACCAGCACCTCCTCTGCCTTCAGGCTCAGCAGGAAAAAGTCAACCGGATTGAAGACAATGTCAGCACTGCCGCTCTGAACGTCGAAGAGGGAACCAAGCATCTGTCCAGGGTAAGGCTCTGGGGGAGACGCCCGGCGGCCCTTTGCTTCTGAGCCACGTCCTGCCTCGGTCGCCTTGACCAGAGAGACCTGCCAGGGAGGAAACTAGGGCGAGGAAAGGGTGAACCCAAGTGAAGTGGGAAGGAAGAGTTGGTGGTGTTTAGTCACTAAGTCGTACCTGACTCCTCGCCACCCCACGGACAACATTCCTCCAGGCTCTCCTGTGCTCCAGCACCCCGCAGAGTCCGGGAAGGAAGAGCCCCGAGTTCAGTCATGTTTTCTTACACGGTATGCTCATTCTCCTTCATCCTCTTATAAAACAAAACATTTGCACTTAAAACAGAGGTTAGTTCCTGTTCCGCCCCAGGTGATTCATCTCAGGAGACTCGCTGGGGTCCGCTTCCTTCCCTGCAGAGTAGCCGTATGCGCAAAACCCACTGGCACTGTGAGGCTTGCTTGTTCTCTGATCTCGTGTGAGTGGGGGGTGTCCTATGAAAGAGGTGAGAGGCGTGTGGCGGCCCGCCTGATTCTCTTCCTCTCTTTTACAGGCTGCAAAATACAAGCTGGCAGCTCTCCCCGTTGCGGGGGCCCTCATCGGGGGCGTCGTGGGGGGCCCCATTGGCCTCCTGGCAGGTTTCAAAGTGGCTGGAATTGCAGCGGCGCTTGGCGGGGGGGTGCTGGGCTTCACCGGTGGAAAGCTGATCCAGAGAAAGAGGCAGAAGATGATCGAGAATGTCTCCTCCAGCTGCCCAGACCTCGCCAGGCACAGCGACCGAGAATGTAGCTGAACGGCTCTTCTTCCCGGCCTGGGTGGCAAAACTGCCGCTCTCGCTTTGGACTTCACCCGGGTCTGCGTGAGGCCGGCCCAGGCCTTTTTCCTGCTGGGGGTGCGGAAAGACCAATGTGGCAAAACTCTTGGACAATGCCGGACCCTCCGTTTCTGGATGCAGGAAGCGCCACGCAGTCCAGAAGAGGATGCCAAAGACAGGCCTGGGGCTTGCGCCACATAGACCGCCAGCTCTTTCTCTCGTGCACGAGCTGAGGGTGTGGACTAGCCGTGTGGTGCCTTTTCTTGGTAAATCAGGAGGGAGGTGCCGATGGTATTTTAGGGTGTGAAAAGATTGGGTGCCCAGACAGGGGCGCTTCCCTCAATCCATTTGTTGTGCTCGTGGGCACGACTCTCTCCTTGCAGTGCAGTCGTGTTCCAAGCTTCTCTGTGGCCGAATACTGAAGCCTGAAGCCCACGTGCTTGACTCCGCTTAGGGCAGCCCTCCCTCTTTTTCGGCAGCGCTGCACCAGTTTTCCCCAAACTGGTAACCTCTCCTTACGTGGGACTGAAGTTCCTGTAATTATTTATGGAAGTTGCAGTCCAGGCCAGCCAGAAGGCCTCCGGTTTGGGAAAACACTACAAGTGCAAGTGCTATATTTTAAAAAGTAGGGCTTACTGAAGCTTAATTTATGAATTTTAAGAGTCCAGCTCTCTTTTTAAAAATGGTTGTTTTGAGGCAAACCTGAACTGGGCCTCATAGATCCACTTTCACAATTTTCAGCCCACCTTCAAAACTGCCTTTTTACAGCTTAACACACTTATGAAGAACCTCTTCAGATCACACCTCCTGGTTTGGATATATTTGACTGGCTGCTGTCTCTCCGACCCTCTTTTCCATTGCTGCATCAGCTGACCAGCAGCGGGTGATAATTAAATGATCAGCCAAAGACGAGGCCTTGTTGGGTTCTGCTTTGTTGAATGCTTTTAAAAAATGTTAATTTTAATGCCAAGTGTAAGCATTTCTGAATAAGAAGCTGAGGTGCTGGGTCTTTTTAAAAAGCTCACAACATTTATGAGAAAAGTATTATACATGTTTCGAAGTAGGCTCATTTCCCTTTCAAACTACTAACATTACTTTCAAAGATATTTTCAACATCCTGTAGTCCCACCAGATAACGACACTGACTGGAGAACCGGTTTACAGCTACTAGCAGGGCTGATGCTGAGAAAAGACCTCATCTTGCCTAAATGTGAAGTCTTGTTGCTTTTTCCCACCTCTCGTGCAGACTTGGGAGTCTGTCATTTTTATCTGGCCTGCGTGGAGCAGCATATAAGAGAGTGAGGCAAAAGGGGATTCTTCCCCTGGAAAAGCTCGGCCACAGTCTGCCAAGTACTAAAAAGCGGGGTGGGTATTTCCAGCTCAGAAATACTTTTGGGGTTCTGCCTTGTGTGCTCTCATCTTAGCCACAGCACAAAACCGTTTCATTATGAATGTTTTGTTAATGCAAGATTTTGAAATAATCTGGAAAATAAACAGTTTTAAATATAGTTGTGTTTTTAAATAGTGGGTGTAAGAAAGCAAAATGCATTTCAAGTGGGCTTGGTGGGCTTGTTCCTCTTGCTGTAAGCAGTGGTAGCAGGTAGATTTATTCAAAATATTTGAATGTGCCTTTCAGGGTGCATTGCCCTGGGAAGGCGGCTTTTGCAGTATTACAGACACTGACACATGCAAAAATAAGAAAAGGCCTTAACCAGCATGTCATGAGCGGAGCCAGTTAGAGCCAGGGGTCAGACTAGATGGCCTGGGAGGCCGCTTCTGACTCGCTCTGTTTCTGTGTTTCTCTGTTTCTATGTCTTCACCTGGGGCCAGAAAGACTGCAGTGAGGATGCCAGGCGAGCCTGTTCGAGAGGGACGGTGCAATTCTGGGTCCTACTTCTCTTTCCTAGCCCCCTACCGTGCTTCGTTTGGAGGGGCACCCAGTGAATGCTTCTGAGGAGCACCTTAGTTGCTGGACAAGTATATATGGGCAATTTCTAATTCCAGGTCCCTGTCCCTTGCCCCCACAACACTAAAAAATAAAAAAACTGCAGGGGTCTCACACCTGGTGCCATGCCTTGTTTGTGTCTGTGGAGAAGCTGAGAGGACTTGGAAAGGAAGCCGAACCAGCACAAGATGGAGGAGTGACAGAGCCAGAACATTGCTCGAAATGAATAGAAGAGGCAGCCAAGTGGCACACGATACGAGACAGGAGGGTTGGTGAATAAATATGGCTGTAATTGAAGGGGATAAAAAGTGCCTGGCACAATGGACAGAGCAGGGCTGTAAAAAAATATCATGTAAAAATACCATGTAAAAATGAACACCATTTCATTTTTCTGGTTTTTAATTTTGGTTTGGTTGCGTTCTGATTTTTGAAACTATTAAACAAGCTTTGAAGATGAAATTAAGGGGAGATGTGATGATGGTCTTTAAAACCCTGCCCCACGGAAGATGGCGCAGATGTGGGCCCTGTGGCAGCCGAAGGGGGCAGGCCCTGCAGGAGAGCAAATGTTAGTTGTACCTTAAGAGAAGCGTCTTGACAGTGCGGGCCGATCTCGGTCGAGTCGGGGGCTGCAGGAGCCGATGGGCTTCCCATGGTGGGAGCTCCGTAAGAAGCAGGACGGCCGCCTGCCGGGGACGCTGCGGCTGCCCCAGACAAAGCACAGCCAAGGTGGCTGTGGGGACCCCTTCCGGTCCTTGGGTTCTCTGACCCCCGCCAGGCCTGTTGCAGGGTCCCTCATGGAACAGCCCTGGGGGGGAGGCTCCTCTTTTAGAGAGGGTGCATCTCACAGCCGAACCCAGAGGGGGAGCCCCGGTGGATGGCTTCGCTCTGCGCTGAGCGTGGGCGCCGTCGCCCTACCGGGGCCGGTGGAGGAAAGAGGGCCGCGTCGAACGGTTCCCTGCAGGGCTGGGAATTCATCCCAGCTGCACTTTTGCGAGAGGGCCGAGAGGGGGCAGCAGGACACCGCGCAGTGCCGAGCAGGACGGGGCGACGGAGCCTGCGTGGCCCCTGGGAGCCTCAGCGCTTCATGGCTGTCCGCTTCGGCGGAGGCCTGGAGTGGGGCGCTCGGGTGGCCGGCACAAGTGGGCGGCGCTGTGAGCCGCGGCTTGAAGGCGTCCCCGAAGGGCCCACGCGTGGCGATTTGGGGAAGGCGGCCCTCTCCATGCTGGTGGCCTCCGGCTGTGCCGGCCCGCGGCTTCCACAACTCCCAGCCAGCATGGCCAGCGCAAGCGACCCCGGGCAGGAACCGACGCGCGGTCTTCGTGCCAAGACAACCTGAGTCACACCTGGCTGCTGCGTGGGGCCACGGCGAACCCCCCCCCCTGGAATGGCGCGGGGGGGTGACCGGGGATGGGTCAGCTCGCAGCACTGCGTCTCCAGGGGGAGTGAAGTGCCTCCCCCGCCCCCCCCGGCCGCAGCGTGTTGCTGGTTCTGGGGTCAGGTGTATGCCCATTCCTTCTTCGGTGTGGGCCTGGCGGGCGAAGGACCGGATCCAAATGTAGCCTGCCTCGCCTAGACCGACCGCGTGGGCACATGAGAACCGACCAGCTGGATCCAGGGGTGCGCTGCTGCCCTCCAACCCCACCAGGGCTCGTTTGCCGTGCGCCTCGCCTGCGTAATTGTGGCAGATTTGGTGGGCGTGGGGGGTGCGGGGGCTGCAGAACTGGCTGCAAATAGAGGCACACGTGCGTTTTTTGATTTCCTGCTCTAGTAACATGAAACGGCAACTTGGTGCCATCAGCTGGAACTTTGATAATGACTCTCATCCGCCCCATTGCTGGTGTGAGGCCGTGGAAGTCCAGTGTGGCACAGGGGTGTGGGCATGGCGCTAGCACGGGGGATCAGCGCTGCAGTGTTCGCCCAGCCAGACGGTCCTTGGGTGAGCGGGGCGGCCACGGACACTCCACCCAGCCTACCTCACAGGGCTGGTCTGAGGATAAAATGGAAAGGGTGGGAGGACTGTGCAAGATGCCCTGGAAAAAAGGCAAGGCACAAATATAATGCCATTAAATAAATAATGTAGACTAAATCAGTGCAGCTCAGTAGCCCGCAAGAGGTTCGGAGGCAGTTGTACCGCCACGTGTGAAATCAGTGCCTCCGAGTCCAACGCGGGAAGTGGGGCAGGCCCCGCTCCCCAGCACCCCGTGTCCCGCTCACGGATGCGGGCCAGCGGAGGTCGCTTCTGGGCCCTGCGAGGGGCTTCCTGCGCCCGCCGGGGCGGCCGCTGGGGGGCAGCACGACCTCGCTCTGGGCCGCCCTCCGCGCAGCGCGGCCCGGGAAGAGTTAACGCTGCTCCGCTCGGCCTCCGACATGTGCGCCGTCATCAGTTTTTGCACCGCGCGGGGGAAAAGCAGCCCGGCGTCTCCGCGCTCGCAGCTGCGTAAGTGGCGTGCAGGCGTGCGCGCGCGCGCGGGGATGCAAGCCGCTTGCCCGGTGGGGGGGCGCGTGGGGGGGCCCGCGGCCGTCGGGGGAGCAGCCCGCCCCGTGGCCGCCCCATGGCGGGCAAAGCTCCCGCGCCGCGGGGCGCAGGGCGGGGTGCTGCCTGAGCGTCCCCGGGACGGCGCTTTCCTGGAGCCGGCCGCCGCCTGCGAGGAATCCCGCGCCGCGCCGCGCCGCGCCTTCGTCGGGCCGGGCG